AAGACTGTCTTCCCCATGCAAAGATTGCCTCATCCCCTGGCTTGATGAAGAGACCTGGGACAGAGCCTACTAGAGGACACCGTTTTTAACTAGCAAAAGCAGGGCCCAGGCCAACACACAACTCTCCTGCTAAATGCACTCTGGTAATACCCCTGCCAGCAACACACCAAGAGACAGCTGGATGCTCTGAGGGAACCTGTCAGAGCTGCAGGTCAACAGGAGAGATCACAGCATCTGCCCTCAAGCCACATCACACGGCCTCCTTGTTGGTATAACAGGGCAGCTGTCTCTCTGCAGGGCAATGCTTTGCACTGAGCCAGGAGCAGACACCAGCACAGAAACTAGCAATAACTCCCTAGCGGAAAGGGATGTCAAAGGGAACAGGGTGTCAAAGCAAGCAACTGCTCCACACACAGAATTACAGGGTTACAGAGGGGATGAGCACACTGGATTCAGGGACTCACAGGAGTAGCTCTGGGCACATACATTCCTTCTAGGAAACAATGTTCAGACAGGAAAGGCCCACAGCAGCAACTCCTCCAGCCAGAGAAAAGCAGGTTTTTTTTCAGCTTGCTGCTCAGAGGCAGTGATGGGTCAGGAAAGCAACTGCAGAACATACTGAAAACAGGCATACATGAATCCTGTCTGCAACTGCTTTCTCCTGGTGCTGATGCAATACACTGCCTTTCAGATACACAGTCCCTTAAGAGATCCAGCCCCTTTCTTTAATGCAATAGCACAAAGATCTTCCCAGATTGGGCAACACAAACAGAAATCTTCAAAACCTTGCTTTAAGCCAGACCTGTACTACCAATTGCCAATTTCTCTGGGGAAAAGAAGCACACATAAAACAAGACCTCTCTCTCTTCCCAGCACAATAACCACACGGGCAGAAGCTGCTGGCATCACCAATTAGACCAAAGCACATCAAGAACAGGAGATCTTGCTCAAAAGATGCAGTAGGCTATGCCGGCAGGATGCCTATCTTGCCTATACAAGCTGTGTAGCCACTATATGAGCTTGGCTTAAGCAGAGCAGAGACACTGGGAAAGCATTCCCACTCTCCCACCTGTTTTTATGAGGGATAGGAAGGAAGGGACTTGAAAGCACAAGAGGAAGAACAGCAGGCATGCAATATCAACATGCAAGGGCCATGGGGGGAACAGGGGTATTTCTAACACTGCTTAGCAATCATGTGCAGGGAACACATAATGAGCATGCAGAGACAGCCCTGGGAAGGGCAGCGAGCACTGCACAGAGAAGCACAAAGGAAAATGTTCTGCGTCTCGCACTTAGCAAGAGTGTCGGGCTTCCTGCAGCTGATGTCTATTTGGAGCAGAGGGCAGACACTCAGCTCCATGCTGGACAGACATGAAGGGAGAAGGCAGTGCCAACCGCAGGCCTGCAGGCTCAGAGAAAAGCCATTTCATACTGCAAGCCTTTGCTCTACAAGCCTGGCACTGGTTTCACCAATCTTGCCCCTTCTCTTGCAGAGTGCATACACACATGCATGTTTCTTCTTCATTTCCTGATTTTTGTTTTTCTCCTTTTAACCAGCTTTCTAGCCAATGCACCAGGCCTGACCTCCCCCCCACCTCCCCTGAGCTAAAGAGCTGCCAACAGGCTGAGGGCTGCAGGCAGAGAGATGCCTCCTGAGAAGTCCACGCTCAGGGCAGCTCCTGCACACAGCTCCCCATATGGCTGGTGAGACAAGAAGTCCTTCCAACAAGAGCCTGAGCTACACAGGGCAAAGGAGAGAGGCTGAACGCTGCATTTCCAGGCAGCAGGCACTTCCACAATGAGCACAGAGATGCGCATGCCCCAAGCCATGACCCCTCAAAGCTAGAGCATCAGGACCAGCCACACACTTGTGAAAATCAAAGTGATGGAGGGATACAGGGGACTCCCTCCCTGCAAGCAAGCTCTGAGCTCCCCAGGCTCATTTGCAGAGCCAGGAGGCACAGCAGATAGCTGTGCTTAGACCAAACACAGGAGAACCTTCCTCTGACTCAGGCAGCATCCCAGGGGCCACAGCCCATTCCAGGCTCTGCTGTTCCCCCCACAATGCCTCCCTCCCGAGCCATCAGGCAACACCTGGGACCCTGCAGAGCCAGCTGAGGCAATAGCAAACCTACCCTTTTGCTTGAGGCTCCAAGCAGGGCCTCCAACTCCTTGTTCAAGAGGCAGATATGAGAAGAGGCAGCAGGCTGCCACATCAGCTGCTTGCCACAGGCAGGTGGGGGTGGGAGGTCAGGATGGCTGCTGGGCTCAACACAGGACGATGCCAAGCAAGTTCTCACTAACAGGAAGAAGGTAGGGCAGAAGCATCTGGAGGGGCTGCCACCAAGGATTGCTCCCCCTCTCCTTGGTTCCCACCCATTGGAAAGCAGCTGCTAGATTAAAAAAGCCTTTACAGAACTGTCATTCAAGGACACGGAAACAATCTCCATTTGCCAAACATCCCCATCATTTTGTCTCACCTATGCACCACAAAAAGCCCCGACAAAGATCCATCCCCAGCCTCCAGCAAGCCTTATCATTCTTGCCCATCCTTACCCATCGCGTAGCTCCGAGATGCTTTGATATGTAAATCAGGCACAGGATCTATAACCAGCACCGTCTGCAATTCACAGCGTGCGGGGTATATCCTCCACCACGGCCTCCTCCGGCACAAAGCAGGCGCCCCACGGCTGCGCAGGCTTCACGTCAGACAGCGCAGGTCCCGCTGTCCTTCCTGGGAGTGGGAGGTGCCGCCTGCGCAGCCCCGGGGTCCCCGGCACACAGCCTCACCCTGGCCTTTAGGACGGAGATGGGGCTCTTACAGAAAGAGACACGGGCTGCGTTCACCTCGGTGCGCACGGGGAGGGTGTCAGAGGAGCCGCTGGCAGGACACTGCGGGGACCCCGTGACCTATGTCACTCCAGGGCTCATGGAAAGCATAATTAGCAGCAGACAAAAAGCAGGCCCTCAGCACTGCCAGCTCCCAGGCTTTCATTGCAAATCTCACACTACCTGGGATTTCCAGAGTCCTGCTTCCCACAACAAAGCAGCTTCATGGGGATATTTATAAAAAAAAACAAAAAACAAAACCCAAAACCCCAAGCAAGCTCCTAGCCCATTTCATTGCTGAAGAAAGCAAAAAAATATCACCAAGGATATTTTAAAAGCCCTGAAGGAAAAAATAAACCCCGCAACATAAACAAACAAGAAGCAAAGCCCTCAGTATTTTTCTTTTCCTGACTCAACTTGCAGCTTCAGGACATTTCAGGATAGTCGCACCACACTTTGGTCAAAGGGAAGAACGTGGAGCATTGCAAAGCCCCACGTCAATGCCTTCTTGATAAGAAAACCGACACCCTCAGAAAATACAGTAGCTTCAGTTCCTTCCAAGGTTACTGAAGACAGGAACAGACAAAAATAGAGCTAAGAGTGCAACAAAACATACTTATGAGCCAAAGCAGAGTGTCTTCCCAACCCCCTCAAAGGCATCTTCTTTCATGTTTGTCTTGCTCCTATGGTACCCAGGTGAAGACTGCCGAAAAGGCTTCTCTCCCTGTAAAGGCAATGTGCGTTCCTATCACTAAAAGGCTTGAGATGAAAAGGCCTTTCCTAGGTAGATACCAGCTAATTGCCATCATTAGAAGCAACGTCCTTAATGCTTTGCTATTTTTGGTTTGAAGAGTTCTCCTGAACTTGGTTTTGAGCTGAGTGGACAGTTTTCCACTCTCAGAGCGTTAAGAGAATAAAGGCTATTAGGGACTATATGGCATGAGTGTTTGGAGGGGAAGGGTACCAGTCCCTGCACTTGTGAAGGCATTGTCCCACGCTCAGGTGGGGCATCTGCAGGACCATCCAAGAGGCAGCTGCCTGTGCCCTACAACCCTCTGGTGGCTTTGTGACCACTGCTACTTGAATGCTCCTGTCCTGCAGCCGCTGTTTTTCCACATGTGCTTACTCCAGAGGAGGACACTTCCACTGTAACAGACAAATCCGGGGGGGAGGCTCCTCAGGGACTATGAACAACTAAATTAGCCACCTTGAGCATGCACCGATTGGCCTTTTGCTTCCATCTCCTACCGACTATCAAGGGAAGAGTAGAGAAGGGAGGTGCCCAAAATCCCAAACTCCCCAAACACTTGGTCTCCATCCAGCTAAGAGCTATCAAACCTGCTCTGAGCACTGGGCTGACTGCAACCTCATCATAGATTTCTGGCATGATGCCTGCAGCAGGTAGCTCCACACACGAGCATTCTAGGACAGGAGGAGAAACCACGGTTTGCTGATTTGGAGGGAATGGCGACCGAGACAAGAGCAGAAAGGGACTGCCTGACTACACAGCAATGGACAAAAGCCCCATCTGATAGCTCCTTGCTAAGTTCTCCAGGGTATGAGAGGCAGGGCGGTACCAGCCTCCTGCTCCCACCCTTGAAACATCACTCCTGTCTCCCTGCTGCTCTCCGCCACATCGGTGGTTGGAGGACAGGCAGGGAGGACAGGCAGCTCTCCAGCACGCACAAAAGCAGGCTCAGCACCTCCGACGCGATCGCGGGTGAGATGGTAGCCGGTGCCAGCCCTGGGGCGCAGAAACCACGGTACCCAGCCGCGGCCGAACCGAGGACCACGGCACAGGACGGGCGAGAATCCCCGAACATCCCCCCCCGCCGCGCTTCCACGCAGCGCCGGCAGGCCCCGGCTGGCAGCACAGGCCTCTCCGCGGGCGCCGCACCCGGGCGCGCCCCCCGCCCGCTCCACTCCGCCCCAAAGATGGCAGCGGCGCCCCCCGCCCGGCCACCCCCGCTGAGGGGCTCCACGCAACGGCAGCGCCGCCCGGCCCTGCCCGCACCGCCCGGAGATGCGGCCGCTGCCCTTCCCTCAGCCTCCCCACCTCGGCAAGCACCGAGGCGGTGGCTCGCTGCGGCCCCGGGCCCGCCTGGCCTGGAGGTAGCCGCTGCCGCCGCGCCCCGCCGTGTCGCAGCCCGCCGCGCCGACGACTCACTTACCCGGTGTCAGGCACGTACTGGCTTCCCCAGGGCCGCCGCCCCGGTTCTCACCGCCGGGCCGGGCGCTGCGGTACCGCGCCGCGCACGCGAGCAAGCGGCAACCGCCCGACTGCGCTCGGCTCGGCTCGGTTCGGCTCGGCTCGGCTGGGCGCGGGGCGGGGCGGGGCCCCGGGTGGGCGGGGCGCGGCGCGGCGCAGCGGCACCGGCTCTGCACAGCGATGGGCGGGCTCGTGGGCGGTGACGAAACTGCTCATGCGCGCGGGAGGAGGACGGCGGGGCCTGGGTGTTCGGAGGTGCGCGGGGCAGGAGTGGGGAGCGGCGGCGGCGGTGGCGGGGAGGGGAGCGGGCCCTTAGGACTCCCACATGGGGCTGACCGCGGCCTGTGTCCTGTTGCTCCTGGTGTGCGGCTTTCACCTGGAGCTGGGCCCGCACACAGCCTCGTGGCCGAGCTGGACGGGGCCTGGGCGGCCCCCCTCGGCGCTGGGGCTGAGCGAGAACTGGCGGTAGGGCGGGTGAGCTTGGGTTGCCCAGGTCCTCCCTTCGCTCGTCTGCCGGCCCTGCTGCCTTTCACAGGGAGCCGTTTGCGGGCCTCGGTGGTGCTGTGTCCAGAAGGCCTCAGGCGTCTAAGCCCTGAGTGTAGGTTGTTTGCTGCTCTAGGAACGCTGGCCCCGAAGGTTCCTCGGGGGTGAGTTTGAGTGGCAGGCAGCTGGGCAGCTAAGCGGTGGCATATTGCAGAGGCTGCTGGGAGCCTGAGCTCTGTGGAGCCCGGAGCCTTTGTGTCGCTTGCAGAAGGGGTCACGGCTAGCATCCTGCCTCTCCGAGAGGCGGCACCCTGTGCTCTTGCCCTGCCCTAGCAGTTTGGCCTATGTGATTACTGCGTGTGTGTCCTTCAGAGTGTTTCAGAATCCAGGGGGAGCTGAGCTGCCGGGATTATGCTTGTGGATAGGTATGAGTAGTCATGCAGCAAAGTTAAACCAAAATTCCTGTGTCCTGACAAGAGTGGCATTTACTTGTGTGTGTCATGGGGACTCGGGAAGCGTGGGTGCTAGTCTGTGCTTTGCTGGTGGTTCTCCAAAAAATGCTTTTGGAGGTCCAGTGAGTAAGGGGAGGCAATTTAGTTGAAGAAGGCATCATGACAGATTTCTTGTGTGTAAAGCTTACTCCTTGTAGTAAAAGCAGACATACAGTCTTTGTAAATGCAGGTTACAAATGCTCATCTGAGCTGTGTTCACTTCTCTGGTTTGAGAGTTCTCCCAGCTTACCTGGGAGGGTCATGTTTGGAAGGAAGGAGACTGAGTTAAGGGAAGTTTTTGCGTGAGAAGCGAGGCTTATTCTAGCAAAGCTGCAGATAGCTCTGTGTTGCCTTGTACCATGAGTGTGCCTTTGTCTCCAAGGCAGGTTTTTCTTAACCCTGAATTCTGTCTGTTAGGCATCGTTTTCTGGTATGGCTCTATCAGGAAGGCCTGGAGCCACTATCTTTTTTTGTTCTGTGAACAAGTAACTCAGGTTAGTGGTTCTTGGCTTTATTTTAATAGTTGAGCCACAGCTCTCCACCTTTTTTCCCTTCTTGTTTGTGCCCTTCTCCCTGCCACAGGTCCCCCCAGTGCGCTTGCTGCTGTCTGGTTTGTGATCGCACCTTGCTGGCTGGGATGTGGTCGCCCAGGTCAGGGCTGGGAGAAGAATCTAGCCTTGTGGCTTGCCACCTGTCCTGTTCTTGAGACCTCAATGCTTTCAGAAGTAGTGAAGATACCTTTGAGAGATGATAGCAGCATTGAGTTACAGGAGTGTGGGCAGTTCTCTGAATTCACATGTAATTCCAGAAGGCAGAGAGAGACAGGGAGTATCCTCACTAAGGTTCACCTGCAGCCCCGCAGACCAGAGCAGAGCTTCTGGGGTAAAGCACCTGCTCTACTGCTCCTTTCGTTTTACCTCACACAGGCTGTCCTCTCTGTAGCTTAATTTCCTGCCAGTGCACTGGGAGTAATCCCTCCCTATTTTAGTACAGTGCTGTGAATATGAGTATATAGAATGATTTAAGGTGCTTGGATAATAGAATGTAAGAGCCATAAGAACCTTAGAGTTGGGTTGCCTGGATACTTTTGACATTTTAAGTAAGTTTTCTAGTAAAGGTATTCAGCTCTTCTTTTTCGTCTGCCTTTCCTGATTGTGATTTGGAAAATTAGATTAGTGTGCTTTGCTTTAAAATTGTTCACAGATGTACCTGTAGTGAGTTTCTGTTGGTAAATTGGATTAATAAATATCCTACTTAACAGCTAATCTTATTTATAAATGGAATTCAAAAAGACTTAATTCCTGGCCTTTCTGGCTGTCATTAATGTAAAACCAGTTATGTCTTGTTAATGAATATCTTGTGTATTTTTAACACACACACACACACACACACACACACACACACACATGCGCGCGCGCGCCCTTAATCACATCGTTTCCTTTATGAGGAGAGTCGTGAATGGATTGATTCCTGTAGTTCACACTTGGCTCTGGTAGCTCACCCTGGCAGATGGTCTATAAATAAACCCACAGTGCCAGAGTAGGGGTTTAGGTATTTGCATGGCACATATTATCTTGGATTTATTTCCTGCATTCTAATGATGGATGACAGATGCAGTTAAAATCTTTGTGGCGCCTGGAACATGTCTGTTTTGCTCTCTTAGAAGAATAAAGGGGATGTTGGCCCCCACTGTTTGACTGTGCAGATCAGGTTACTGCTATTAAAGTGAAGAATATTTTTCCCTATTTTATTTTGTATGTTTGACAGCAGGCTTTGAGGAGTACTCTTCAGCATTTGCTTTGCAGCATCTATTGGTTTTCTCTGGAGCCTGTTTGGATGAGTTACTAGAAGAAAGAAGGAAAAGAAATAGTTGAATGGTTGTGAAATGACAGATCTTGGGAATAGAGGGAGCAGGGGTCATTTCCAAAATTTGTGATTTAAAAGGGAACTAATACTGGATTGTTAGATAAATATTTAAAATTATGCTTACTCTATGATGCAGGCAGGCTAAAAATGGTACCTTGACTGGTTTTCAAAATACACACCACTGATAAAGACTTGGTCAGAGCCATTGCACTGGCCTCTTGAGTGTTCAGAGGCCTTTTATGAGTTCCCATAGTTGTGTTAATAGTGTACATTCATACAGACTATTCTTGTGAGGCGCATCAATATTTTTCTGGAATGAAAGAGATCCATTTCTTGTCCACATCTCCTGGTGTTTCTCCAGAGATAATGTCATCATATAAATCTGGGTTGGCAGTGAAAGGAATTCTGGTCTTATGTTTTGTTGTGTTCCCTTGCACCAGCATTCACACAGCTGTGGGGTGAGTTGGATCAAGGAACTGATTTAGCTGAACACTGTGATTTACATGTATGCTAGAGCCAGCATAAGAGAGGTGATGAAAATGTGTGTCAGGGGGACATAGACCTTCGTTTCCTGGTACTGTGTGCCCTGATGTAGTTTCCAAGTGAGTATGTAATCCTGTTCCCCTTATCTGGAAGATGTCCTTGCTTTGTATCAGCTCCCTGAGGTGGTCAGCTTGTGCATTTGTGCATGTTTGACGAAAATATGGTATGTGGCCTGCTTCTGTGAGCTGGAATGGAATTCTCCAGCATTCCTCCATTCAAAAGCTACTCAGGATTGTGATAAATGTAAGTTATTTCTTTCATCTCAAGGAAAAAGGGTGAAGATGGTAGCTTTATTATGGCACTTGAAAACGGCACAGTGGTTAATTAACTTCCAGGGGTTTATAACTGGTGAAGAATTTCTTCTTGTGCGGTGCTGGAAGTTGATGTTGGTCTGCTGGATTGAATGGGGTGACGCTGAAGGGCCCTCAAGAAGGGAGTGTTTGCTCTAGCATGTTATTACGTGCTCAGATTTATTCAGTAAAGTAGAAATTGGGTCATTTCAGTGATATTTGATTAATAAACTCCTCCCTTCTTCTGAATCTTACTCCAAATTGTGTCTCGGGTCTGTGCTAACTTTTAACAGGTATGTGCAGTGGAGAGAAGCAAAGTGTCTTGGATTCTGGTTTAAAGAGTTAGTCTCTCTGACCATGAGACAGAGCCACTGCTAGAACTTATGGGCAGCAGGGTAGGACCAGGAGAGGTCTCTGTGCACAATTCTTTATCACTGCTTTGATGCAGCTACATGTGGCTGATGTTTCTATCAATTGTCCTTGTATTGGGCCTTTCATTTTAGGATAGCATCTGTTTAAACACTGTTCTTGCCTAGCACTAAGAACTCTGAAATTAATCCTGCTTGAGAAGGAGATTGGACTAGATGACCTCCAGGAGTCCTTTTCAAGATAATTCCTTGGCAGGAGTGTATTAGTGATAAAGTACCTAACGATTTAAGGCCTAATGTTGTGAGGCAGCACAGGGAAGGAGAGAGGCGCTAGGTGTGCTGGGGCCGATGGCTGTCATCGCTTTATAGCAGATCTTCAACTTTGGCACTAAGTTGGATCATTCATGTCGCAGCACCCAGCGTGACTGAGTGGCTTCTGTGCCCTTTGGAGTTTAGTTTGGTAATTAGCTGCTCCATAGAGGGGAAAACTGAAGGCAAAAGAGATAAAGCTTGCAGCTGCTGAGGGAGTAAGTCACGACTGGGTCTGGTTGAGGAGCACCTGGAGACAGACCCAAACTTTCTAGAAGGGAAGCTGGCATGTTACAATAGCTGAAGATGTGATTCACTCTGTGAAACTGCTTGCACCCTTGAATGCTGTACTCCATGCCACAGGTGCATTCTTCTCTTCCCTCCACCCTTCATGCTAATTGGAAGCATCCCCCCTGTTTACTCAGTTCCTAACAGGATGCTTCATACCAAATAATCAATCATAGGAAGGTTCTTAGCCTGTGACGCATCTTAATGTGCTGAGGAATAATTCTTAGCAAAGAAGGGGGTACTGAGTCATCTGGAAAAATAAACAGTCCTTGGGCATTTAATGCTGTTGATGCTCCTGCTGGTAGTTTTTAAACTTCAAACCTTCACTGTTGCCACAGGGTAGAAACAGATGGTGACTCCTCCCCAGAGCGGGGATGAGTTCAGAGCTTAGGCAGCGCTTTAGGACTCTGACA